AAATATACAAAGAAGTATATATTCCTATTAAACTTAATTAAAATCCGAATATCAAAAAATAACATATCTCTGTTTTTTTGATTTACTATTATTTATCTTTGTTATAATATATTTTAATTTTAAAGTAGCAAAAAATTAATATCCCCAATGATATAATAATATAAGAAATAGCAATTAAGTGAAAAAAGATATCCTCAAAATTTAATTCAAATTATGTAAAATATATTCTTAAATAAAGTGGCATACCAACATTTATTCCACAAATATATCCAATCAAAATATAAGAGTATCCACCTTTAAACTCATAATTATCATTTATTTACAAAAAGTATTTTGGCCAATTTTTACTAAAAAGTTTATAATTACTTAATATTATTCTAATCATCTAATTTATATCTAAAAGTATTAAAATGTAAATAAATATGTCTAATAGATAATGTTTTTCAAGCTCATAAATAATATCAATACTAAATTGAATAATGAAAGTCTAATGGATTGCAAATAATTTTATTCTTATTTAGATATTTTAAAAAAAAAATCAAAATCAATTTCACAAAATCATAATTATAATAAATTAGAATTTTAATGAATTCTTTAAATTTTTTAATAATTTGCTATAAATAAATATACATTATAATTCTACTATTGAAAAAATTTAGGTATTGAAGCATCAAAAACATACAATTCCACAAGTTTAAAAAACAATAGGAAACGGAAGCAAATAATTTAAGTAATCCACTATTCATATCACTTAAGCCAAATAGCAAAATTAAAATATTGAAGGATGAACCTATTATTGAGTCAATATTCTATAGCTAATCTAATGATAATTATCTTTTTGTCCATAACTTGTATATTAATTATAGAAAGAACTAGGTGATATTAATAACTTATAACATTTATAAAATAAATTATTTTTTGAAAAATAAAATACTTTTTAAACCTCAATCCTCCCAAACAGAAATTGAATTTGAGCCTTTATTCTGTATCAGAAAATTTAACTCTTTAGAATTTTTTTAGAATCATTATCAAAGCTATACAAAAATAATTCACACAAAAATTATATTTAATGTAAATTGAACTTAGTTATTGTTTTTGAAATTACAAAATTATACAAAAATTGATGTTCCTAATTATCTCATATATATTTAAATATTGCGCTTACAAAACTTTAAATAAATATTAGATTTAGTTGATAATGACCTGGATATCTATTTGAACAATTTAACATTTTAGTGTTTTTTAGAATAAGTTTTCCTACATTTTAGTTATAAGATATATTTTTAAAGTTTACAGATATAAAAAAGATTTAATATTTCATCAAGCGTTCACAATAGCATTTTATTTTTAAGAAACCCTACATTTTTCTTATGATGAATATTAATTTGAATTTAAACCTAATTTAATAATATTCTAGCATTTAAATAGTTTATACAACAATAATCTCTTTAACAATTAATAGGATTCTAACTTTTTATTCCATATAGAAATGATATTTCTTTACATGCTTGAATGTTTTTATAAAGAATATCAACCAAAAATTATAATTTCTTTTTAAAATAGATAGGAAATTTGTGGTTATGGATGATGGAAATTAGATGACAAAATTTTTAAATAAATAATTTACAAATCTTCTTCATTAATTTCATTTATCTTTCCTTTAATCTAATTGTATTGATTAATTTAACATAAAAATTGTTAGAAGAATATAAGAGAATAATCAAATACAATGCTAAGTAAAGCACTAATAATTAAATTACAAAATAAAAGAGGGAAGGAATTTCATTAAAAAATTATAGAAACCTGCAGATTTGCTAATTGGTAAAATTTTAAATATGGTCTTTTGAAAATTTACCCAAAGAAAATGTTATTAAACAATCCAATTAAAATACTGCAAAACAAAAGAGTTATTTCAAATCGACTCTAAAACCAAATATAAAACTAATTCAAAGTTAATAAGGCCAAACAGAGAAGCCCAAAAGCCAGATTTATACGATGACTAAACAATTATAACAGGAATGTTGATACATAATAGCTAAACAATCATATTACTGGTGTATCAAGCGATTTATATATTATTTACATTTTTCACAATTTTGTCATTATTATTGATGATATATAAAAAAAAATAAATTCTTTTGATTAAATGAAAAGGAAAAATAATTAGGTGGGTAGTGCTAATTATAGTATTATCATCAGTTTTATCTTATAATTTGCAGGAGGAATAGTTTAATGATCTTCATTATAAACTTAAAGAAATAGGAATGATAGAGATTATATATTATAATTAAATAAAAATTTGACATCTTTTAATAATTTATTTAGTATTGAAAAACATAATGTAGAGGGAAATGAAATATTAGAAAAGATAAAAATGTTGCTTCAAAATTCTTTTTATTTTTGTAATATATACAATCTCAAGTGTGGCCATTGTTGTTATTATGTTTTTATCGTATTTAAATTTTGTAAGAAAGCAGTTAGAAGGTCTAATACCAAATATTTTCACTTATATTTAATTGGAATACAATTTGGTCTATTTATAATAATTGAGTTCTGTATTATCGTCTTTTTTATGTATTTTTAATCTATATATATAGGTTTTTTTAAAGCAGAGATTTCAAAAAAAAGATAACGATATCAAAACAGTGGTCAAGAGCTCGAGAAAATAAAATGATATTATTGTGAACTTACATCAATTTAATAAAAACAAAATATTTATTATTTCTTTTTATTTGTTCTAGATATATGAAGAAGGATAAAGCTCCCTTTTTATATATTTTGATTATCAGTTACAGGGTTTGATTTATGATCATATATTAGAAAAGAATTTTCGGTTAGATTGAGTTATTGTACAAATTTATAAACTGACATCAGCACACCTGAAATTATCTTAAGAGCCATTAATAAAAAAAAAATTTTAATTTATTCTTGTTAATAAGTTTGATAAAAAAGTAAATTTAATAAGGAAGTAACAAAATGGTGATATTGTAATTGAGCAATCTATTCCATTTTAATCTTACTATATCTATGATTGTATATCTAATCATGAATAATATCTGATTACTTGGGATTATTCATCAAAAGACTATTAACTCAGATAATATAAAAAAACATAAATTATTATGAAATTCAATTTATAAAAATTTTTAAAACAACTTAAATTTTAATTATATTTTCATTCTAATCAAATTTCACCTGCAACTTTAAAATAAAAACGATAAAAGGAAGAATTTAAGAATCTTTACTATGATTCAATTAAATTACAAGAGAAAAAAAAGATATCTTTACTTAAATAATAAATATGATGTAATTTTATATAAGTATATTTTATATAACTTATTGATTTTTATTATAATAAAATAGATTATTTGTAAACACTAATAATTTCTTGTATTTTTAATCATTTAAAAAATCAAAAACATCTTTTTTTTTATTAAATCTGCGCTGATTCAATTTTTTTTATTCTTAACATTTAATTTAGAATTATTTCAACTTATTTATTCGATTTTCGAAGATTAGAACCAAATAATTTGGATGATAATATTTTATTTATTCAATGATTGATTTTTGGAGGAAACATTTTAATAAAAATATTGATTCTATTTTTGTTCAATTAATTATTAGTTCAGCCATCTAAATCTATTTTAATTATATATTTTAATAAAGGGATCATCTTAATAGATCTTATATTTTAAATTAAAATCTAAATTATCAAATTCATACGCCAAAATCAATATATTTTCTAATCATACGTTCAAATTAGGATTAATCTTTTATTCCAAGAATTATTTTTGTAGAAAGATTAAAATAGTTTATTATTATAACAAAAAAGAGACAATCTTTTAAGAATTAAAAAAATTAATGTTCCTTTTTCAAAATGTATGTTAAAGTACTCAATAAATTTAAGAAAATTAAAGACTTAGTATTATTATTTTTTTCTCCTTTTATTAGATATACAATAGATAGTAAAATTTATTAGGCGATTCTAAAAAAATTGGATTTAAATTCAAAGGTTATTACACTTATGTAAAATAACAAATAAGAAACCAAATTGAAATAATAGGCACCATTCTCAAAGTCAATTGAAACCAGTATGTTTAACTGAGCACTTAGTAGAATAATCTTTTAATCCCAGCATTTTATTAAAGAAAATTTTTTTATGTGTAAAAAACTCTTGTTGTTTTCTTAAAATATTTAGATCTTGTTTATTGTTGTTTTTATTATTCAATGTTTGAAAAAAGTAAAGAATTAATAATCGTATCGCTTTAAATCTCAAACTTAATGCAGTTCATACAATAATTGTTTATCATTTATAAGCAAAGCTCACTTTTAGTTACTAGAGATATGATATAAGTCTCAGTACTTATATTTGTAGATAATAAATTAATTTATTTTTATGAAGATTTAAAATCTGAATACTACCAGAATTCGTGGTTTTAGTACGTTTTAGCCTGATCTTTGAGAATTTAAGCTATCAAATGGGAAGATATACTCTGTTAGTGTGAAACTATAGTAAATATTAAAATTTAAGTAATGAAAATAAATAATAATTACTTATAATTTAGATTGATAATTCACTTCTTTTTTTTCAAAGTTACATCGCTATTCCCAATACATTTTTGGTTTGCATTTTTTTCTTTCTTTTATATCTTTCTTAAACGGTAATTATAAGCCTATTTCCCTTGCTCTAAAATGTCAACTATTAAAGTAAAGCCTAACATGAAACAAAATAGAGCCATGTGTAACCATCCAAACAACATAAATTAATCCTCATTTAATTCTAAACTGTAAACTAAAAATGATCCTGTCATAATCAAAAATACAATTTCTCTACAAAACAGCTTAGCTAATTCAAAATTTGACATTATCGGTCTAAAATGGATTAAATATATTAAATAAAATAATGACTACATCGAAAGTAAGACTGATTATGCTTCTGGATATTCTATGAATTTTACAATAATTGTAATATAAAAAATTGTTTTATATATTTGAAAAGGTTTGAAATTCCTAGCCCAAAATTGAGTCTTTGTATCCTAAAAAAAATACCTCCATTTTTATTTATCCTAAATTTGTGATGAAGTGATAGAAAGCAAGCTAACAAAAATATAAATAAGGAATTATAAACTTATAAATGCAGCGATACTATTAATTATCTCAAAAATAGAATTAAAAGTATATTCAGGAAATTATAATAGAGTACTAAATAATAATTAATGAAGTGTTGAATAAAAAAGTTAATAAATTCCTAATGAGAAATAATAGTTCTTCACTTTTGAACATTTAGCTTGAATTTTCTTCTAAAATATTGATATAAAACGAAGAATTTTCATACTATCTTTATTTTTTTCAAAGCGTCTCCCTAACCATTATGAGAATTTAATTGATGATAAAAAATAACATATAAAATATGTAAGTAATGATGCCAAGTAAGAAAAGTAGCATCCTTTAGCATTCATCAAATATAACTAGTTCATAACATCGACTTATATAGATTATTGAGATTTCTTTTTTTAATATGGTATAGTGCCTCCATTCAGTTCAGCAATAATTTCATCAACCTTTAAGCAATCTAAAATGGGTTATAAAGAGATTTTTGTATAAGTTTCAAGAAATTAACTAAAATGAGGAGGAAATCTATATTGCATATATTTAATATAAGATAGAGCTTAGAGTAAGTCTAATAAATTGAAAAATACAATGTTATTACCTGTTAACACAAGAATCCCAGCAAAACTAATTGTTGAATAAACTACAGCTTCATTCATATTGATAATTTAATTTACTTTTTTCTAAGCACTTGTTGATAATACAAAAGGAGTTCCAAGAGAAATTGATTTAAAATTAGTACTTAAGTCAAAATTAAACTAGTTATAAATACAGAATTTCTGTATTTTTATCTATAAAATTGGCTCTTTAACAGGTTCCAAAAATTAAATATAAATTTAATAATGAGGATTATTTAATTAAGAAGTAAAGTTTAATAATGGAACTATAGTTTATTCAAATTTAGCTTATGGAATAATCATAATTTCTACAACATTTTCAAAAAGATTGTCACCTAATATATATACTTCTTAAGAAAAGCTGAGTTCTACAATTTTATTGTGATTACTTTTATCAGAGAGTAGAATTAAATTGAAGGTTGGCTCATGAATAAAAGTGCAAAGGCTTGGTGAATTTTCTTGATTAATACATTTAAAAGAATCTTCTTCAAAACACAAAGCAGAACATCCATCTCCTCCATAATTATTTCCATCGTCGCATTATTCAAAATTACTATTAAGCCTTCCATTACCACATAAATTAACACATTAATTGTTTATAAAATCGTAATTCTCATTACATTATAGAATTAACAAATCATCATCATTTACTTCCTGTTCTGATTCTGATTCTGGTTCTGAGTCTATTATTTATTTTAGCTCTTAGCACTTATTAGTGTGAGTATCTAAAATAAAATATTAATCTTCACATTTTACACAATAATTATTCATCTCACATTTAATACATCCAAAAGAGCATTAGAATTGGCATTCAAAACATCCATCATAAGGGATATCATTACCATCATCACATTGTTCATAAAAGGGAGTAATAATATTATCTCCACAAATTGGTATACATTACCCATCCCTAGTTTCAAATGTTAATAAACATTATTCACAATTTTAGAACTTGTCACAAACCAAGCAATTATGATCACATTAATATTTACAATCAGCACAATTAAAATCGTCAGGATTATCACACTATTCATTAGATAAAACAGCCAATAATCCATCTCCACAAATCTATTTACACTAGTATTCTTATAACTACCATCCTTCTTTACATATATAGCACTTATTATCAGAACAAAATAAACATTCTATTTAACAGCTTTTTTAACATTTATAACAACCATCAAATTAAATTAGATTTTCATCATCACATTCTTCTTGCAATAATTAAATCCCATCCTAGCATTTAGGGATACAATATTTTTTATGAAAATCTAATTCATATCCATCTTAGCATTCCAAACATTTTACAAGTTACTGCACTTTGCAATTATTAACTTAATCTAATTTTAATTGATGATTTTAATATCCAAATACTCTTATAAGATTCAAATCAAAATAGCATAAGGAAAGTATATTATTATTATGATGAATACTTTAGAATTAATTTTCAAAGATGGTTATATATTATCTTGAATTTAAAAATAAATCGAAGCACTTTCTTTTTTCTACCATAGTGTTTTCTATATTCTCAGTAATATCTAAACATTAGCCTTCTAAGAGTAGATATTAACTTTTACACTCTAAACATTTTCCAAATTAAGAAACTCTACAATTTTTAGGGCAAGACTATTTGCATTCATGACATCCATCATAAATTAATAAATTACCTACATTACATTCCTCATCATGAGTCATGAAAGCATCTCCCAATTAAGAAATGTAAGATTTTTTTTAAATTGAAAGTTACTGTTCTATTAAATAACCTTAACAAAATCCTTAAAAACTATTACCACAACTTTTAATTTCATCAAAATAATAGCCATTAATACACATGATACGATTATAATCCAAAGGATTTAAGCAATATTAAAGATGAATATAACTGTAATTAAAGCAGTATTTGTTATTTAATTCAGATTATTCCTATTATGTAAGGATACCATCACCGCACTTAGATTGAAATTTTTGTTCTTCATTTAAATAATATTCTTATTAACAGCCTATACAAGATTCATCAGAAGATATTTCACAATTAATAAAACAGAATTTACAAGAAATATTCTATTTAGTAATATAATTTAATTCCATCCGTAGTTATTATGTTTCATAATCGTTTTCATATTTAATAGCAAGCATTCAACATCATTGGAATATTTATATTATTCATAAGAATTAATAATAGCAAAACATTTTGACTAAATTAATTGATAGCCTTCTTGGCAATCATGGCAAGTTCCTTGTATACAAATTTGACAAGAGCTTTGGCAATTCAATTAGCAAAAGTGGCAACCATCATCAGGAATTAAATTTCCATCATCACATTCTTTATCATATGTAATTAAAAAATTGCCACATTAAGAATAACATAAAAAGTCAATTAATTTGTAACCTTCTTTGCATTCAAAACATCCTCTTCCTCTAGTATCACATTTAGAACAATAATCTTAACATTTTTTTTTACAATTTTAACATCCTCTATATGGCAATATTTGGAAGTCTTCGCACTATTCATTTTCGGCTTTTATATTATCACCACAAATTGGTTAACAAATATTATTACTTGAAAGATTTTGTCCAGATATACAAGCTTGGCATTTATTATTTATGCAACTATTACATTCTAATAGTTAGCATTTAAAATTGCCTAAAACCCCACCACATGATCCACAATTACTAAATTAATTATTACAATTTTAATCACACCTAATGTTAGTATGAGATTTCTCATAATAGAATCCATATGGATCATATACAAGTAATCCATCGTTTAAGATAGGTTAGCAATAATATTCATAAGGCTCAAATCCATGAAATTCACAACTCAAGCATTTTCTCAGTTCATAATCACATTAAGAGCATCCAATCCTACATAGAAATTTGCAATTAAAACATCCATCAAAGTCATTGAAATTAGCATCATCACATTCTTCAATTCCAACTTGTAAACCATCTCCACAAATTTCCTTACAAAGCCAAGATTAAGATGAGATATCGATTTACCATCCCAAAGTAGCACATTCAAAACATTTTCCCTTTATACATTTTGTACATTCATTTTAGCATTAATATTTACAATTAAAACATCCATCAAATTATATGTCATTTCCATCTTCACATTCTTCATCTCCAGTAACCAATCCATCTCCACAAATATCTGAACATGGTAATATCGTGTTTATGTCACAAGACTAACAATTTATTGGACATTAGAATTAGCAATTATAACATTTATCATATGAAATGCTATTACCATCATCACATTACTCATACCCAACAACTTACAAATCCCCAAAAATTGGAATACATTCATTAGATATTAAAGTAAACCCTTATCCACATTTATTGCATGGATCTGTATTCCATATTAGATCACCATCATCACAATATTTATAACATTCTAAAAGTGATACATCTTAATCATTAGGACATTAAATACAAATATCATCATCATTGGTATAAAATCCTGTTGTGCATTTACAATTTAATCCTTTTAATGATCTATTTTATTAAGAATCGCAAGATAAGCAACCATCAATACTACCTTTAAAGCATGTTAAGCAAGTTGAATGGCAAATTGTACATTTATTGCCAGAGTTTTAATAAAAATAATTAGTTGGACATTAACAAGTAGAATTTACTAATTCAATCTTAAAAATCTCACCATTGCAAGTTAAACAATCATTCGATGTCGGACCAAAACAAGTACCACACAATTTATCACATAATGAGCACATAATATTTTAATCTTTTTAATAATAACCATCTGTGCAGAGACATTATCCATTAGATAATTTTCTGTTATTTTTTGATAAGCATTCAGTACAATAGGTATAACTTAAACATTAATTACATTAAATTGGACAATTCTAACATTAATTAGATTCTTCATATTGGTTTTATTTGCAAAAACATCCAAAGCTAGTTAAAGTATAGGTTGGATTTAAGCAAGTCAAACAAACCCGTTTTGATTTACAGGTTGGACAAAGAGGTTCACAATTGAGGCATTATAATTTATATTCATCAAAATATTAATTTGATAAACATTCTGTTGAAGAAAATTATATTAAGTTTGAATTATAAGTGCTATTCCAGCTAGTACATGTTTTTTCATCTTTGCATGATAAACAAAATGGTTAACAATAATGAATAGCTAAATAATAATTATAAAATCCACAATAAGCTTAAGTTACTTCATTGTTTGCTCCAAAGCATTCTAATTCTAATGTTAAATTATTTAGAGAATGATCCACTTTTTTTCTTATTATCTAATATTTAGGGCCATAAATTGAATATAATGCATGCAATGCTGATGTATAAAATGCAGGTTATTAATCAATTTGATATATAAATTATCCGTTTGATTGAAAAGAAGGACCAAATAATACATAAAAACCTATCGAAATACTATGATGAGGCCCCAGATTTTAATGGACTCTTCTAAATCTGGCTTATGCCCAAATAAACTAACCACCTAATATTCTTTATCCTTCCCAAAATGAAAAATATCTATCAAATCCTTTTAAAAAATTTTCACCAGTCTGAAACATTAAAGTGTATTCAGGGTAATAATCTAATTCAAATTGATTCAAATCTTCTTTTATCAATAATTATGAATCTATATTAAATTTATTTATTACATGGTGTTTCATCATCTAAATCCTTACAATAATTTTAAACCCTTGATTGATGTGTTTGATTACAACTCTAATAATTAATACATGTTCCATCTCTGTATCTTAAAGTACCTGATTAACATACTTTGCATTTGAAATTTACGTCATCACAAATCTAACAATTATCTGTACAATTATTCGTTATATATTCAATTTATTAAATAGCCCAACCAAATGAGGAATCACTTAGAATTCATCATCAAAATATTTACCTAAAATTACTTTGAGCTGAAAACAAAATTGTTTATTTTGGTAAATCAAAATTACCATAAATATTATATAAATAGGAACTGGAATAAGATTGATATGGACCTAAAGAAGACTCTTAGAATTCCTTAAATTTATGCAATTAAACTCCAGAGCTATTTTTATATATGGACCCAACATAAGTATTATTAAATTTAAATTAAATTCCACAGTCTAGTTGAAACCCATTAAAAATTACTATCGTAATTTTTACTTTCAAGTAATATCCCATTCGATTCTCTATCAAAATTTATCTCAGAATTCCTTAGCTTTGCTTAAATATTCCATAAACGAAGAATATTTAATTGGAATAAGTATAATTAAACACATCAATAGAATTGCCAATAAAGTTTGGATCATAGATTTTAGTCCATAATAAAAAATCTTTATAACTATTAGGATCGTCAGATATTTTTTATTTGACATTATTATTTCCTATGGTATAATTATCTAGTCTTAATATTTAATATATACAAGGACATGTATTGCAAAATCCATTAAAGCACAATGGTTCAATAGAATCGCATTTTGATCTACATCCAACATTTTTAACATAAAAAAAATCTGATAGACATGGAGGACAAATATTATTAGTTGGTGTTCCAAAGTAACATGTCGTACATTAATTTTATTTAGGTCCTGTACAACTACTGCATGAAGGATAGCAAATTACATCATAATACATTGAATATATGTTTCTAATTGAGACCTAGCCCTCTGCATTTTAATTTTCAATTTCAAATTAAAAATCCCCATAAATATTATAAGGTATTGTAAAATTAACTGTTTTGATATCATATAAAATATCATCACAGAATTATCTATTTAGTGAATAGGTTTAGGGTGAATTATAATTATACTCTTCTGTGAATGAACCCATTGAAAATTTAATCTTTCCATTAGTCCAAGTACCCTAAAAATATAAATCAAAAAAAAAAAATCCTTTTAAAAATCTCCCTGTTAAGTGATGATAAATAAATTCACCAGAAGACCAGGCAAAATCACAATAATAATATTAAACCTAGGGGTATAAATAATTCAACGTTATATAGCTTGTCTAAGGATTCGTACAATTAATAAAATTAGCTGTCTTATCAAATTATGTTGGGATCATGAATGATTAAGTACCATAAACGAAAGGGTACTGAATTGAGAGTTTATAAAATTAAGTATTCTAAAATAAATATCGCTATTCGATTCTCCATTAAGTATTGACAAGGTTAAAGTAATTCAAAATAATGAAAAATATTAATTAAAACATTTATTATTAAAATAATTCATGTTTATTTCGAATTAAATATCTAAAAATTTTTGTTCTATTTAAGAAGGGAAATAATGTGCAAAAAATGGAATGTATTTTTCATTTTAGAATTATACAGAAAATATTAATGTTTCTCTTCAACTTCAAGAAAATATGAAACAATAATATTCTCATACCTTAACCTTAAAAAAATCATTTTATTTTATTTAGTATGTTGGCTTATTTAAATTTATTAATTTTTCAAAAGTTATTCATATAACCATATGACATGTAACTCATCAAGATATTCGAAGTTTGGATCTCTTGTTGACTTTTACACATAAATGTTAGTCTCTTAAACAATATCTTCCACATTTCTTTTTAGTGTTGAATAAATATAAAATTAAATTTTATAATACAAAGAAAATAAGAGGAAATAAATATATAATCCTTAGAGAACATTGCTTTATACAAATTTTCAACTAGATTGATTTTTAAGTGAGAGAGTTGATTTTTCATTTAAGACTTTTATTTACTAAATTCTTTTTATGAATAAGTTTTAATATTAAATATAATCCTTTCAAAATAAGAAAATTTCACGCATAAAATATGAGTTAATGGTTTGTAGTTTAATTTTAACCTTGATTTTAAACCATAAGTCTTAAAGCTACAAGCTAATTACTAACGAAAGAAATACAGTACCAACAAAACTCTAGGAAATATTAATAAATAAATATTTCTTTAAATTAAATTGATTCATTAAAAAAAGATCATTTTAATAGATTAGGCTTTGAAAAATCTTGAATCATAGAAAAAATTTTAAATAATCATAATTATACTAACAATAATGAAATTAATATTAATTGGAAATAATTTACATTTTAATCAAGTTTTTAACAATTTTTTTTAATATGACAATAATTATTTTTTTTTTTGACATATTTTTGAAGAATATATATAATTAATTTTCATAAAAAATGAGTACTTCAACAAGAGATGTGGATTTTTCATTTGGTTAATGTTATTACAGTAGACAAAATGTTAAGTAAAATGAAAAAAAATTAGACCTTGCGACATTTTATGTTCATGCAAGAAAAAATGAATTACAATATCAAACAAACTTTAGACTGCAGGAAATATTAAATGAATTATAACTGAAAAATCAAATTATTTAAATAATTTTTACTGTTGTTAATATAGGGGTATGGATCTTTTGGCTAAAATAATTAAAAAACGATTTGATATGAGGGAGAAAGTAAAAATTTTTTGAATTAAGGACCTTGCATTATTTCATTTTTTCATGTGAATAGATTTTGATGAAAATTAAGAAGTACACTTCTTCATGAGAAAATGGTTCATCAAAATTAGATAGGATATATTTAATCTTTTTTAACAATAGTTCCATAGTGATTGTAATGTTTCTTAAATAATTGAAAAACCACTTATAAAAATTATTACGATTATTATTATCTTAGATAATGTTTTTTACCTGATGGTTAACTAGATATAAAATATATTCAAAATTAGATAAAAATTCTAGATGAAGACTTTAATGCAGAAACAAGAGTTTTATTAATTTATGGTTGTTTGTAGCTAAATTTTCAAGAATATGATAAACATTTATAAGATAATTTCTTTGCAATTTTTCCACAATCTTTAAATAGTAGATGAGAAAAATTGAATAATATATTATCCCTTAGTTCATAATATAAAGTTTGAAATATTTATTATTTAGAAGAGATCATAATATCATCATTTCAAAAAATTACTTATTTTAAATTCGTGATATAAAATATATTATTTTTTTGTAAGAAAATTGTCTTTCTAATTGGCAAAAGCGTGAAGATTTTTTATTTACTCTTAAATAGTGTATCTACATTCTTATATGTGAAGCTTTTTTCTATTTAGCAATTTTTATGCCAACCATCCTTGATTATCAACAATCATAACAAAATCTTTATAAAAATTTCTTTACAAAAAATTATTGCAAACTAATTTACAATTGTGACATCCATCATAGGGGTTATTATTATTGGTATGATTGTAATCTTTTCCATCTATTTTTAAAAGATCTCTAAAAATAGGAAAAATATTAGTTTAATTCTATGGTTATACATAAGCATTAATTATTGTATAAAGATCGATGAGAATCAAATACATATGTTTAAAAAATAGATTTTAAAATTTCTTTTTTGGTTAAAAAATTTAATAACGAATCTATTTAGAATTAATATAACACTTTAATCAGAATCAAATTTTACTTATATTAACACATGAAGTATTGTAAAAATAATAATTAGAACTAGATCTTATTAATGAAGGATAAGCATCTAGTAAATTGATTAATTTTTTTAATGAAATCATGGAAATATTGAAGATTTATAAAATGATTTCTGTTAACTTGATTAAAAATATATTAAATTGTAAATGGCAAAGAGTAAATAAGATTTTGATATCAAATCTTAATTTAAAAAGTCAAATTATTATTAAATCATAATTTAAGTAATGCTCAGATTTCTTGATTATTATTAATAAATTCCTATTTTTAATAGTTAATCATATTAATTATTTGCAATAATTAATATTAAAATTTTTCAGTTAAAATCACTAAAGATTTTAAACCCCAAACATAGCTTAAGATTTAAAATAATGGTCTTCAAAGACCAAGAAGTCTATACAAAGAAATGCAAATACTACAAGAAGTTTACTTCTAACAGAAAAATAGTGCTAGCTTTAGTACATATGATTTACCTTCTTTTTATTTCTTTTTTAAATAGTCAATAAATAAAAGAAATTGGAAATGCAAAAAGAGGTTAATTTATAATCTAGTACATATTTCCGTCACTCACAGCAAACCACTCACATGTAATGAGCCAAAAACACAATGATGGAAGTTTAAAATAATTTCTTCTAGAATTTGCAGTTCCTTGAATACTCTCTTGATTTTGAAGATCATTATGCATCTTATGATAATTTAATTACTCAAAAATAATTATTATTAGTTCATATTCTAATTAAAAACTATTTTAAGAAAAATTTATTTTTGTTTGATTATAAATATTAAAGAAGCTATCATTTAAAGGACATTCTCTTTATATTATTATAAAGTTATAAAAACACTTTTTAAAGTATTGATAATCATCAGAGTTAATATCGAAAATTCTAAAATAAAAATAAATACTTTTGATGTCAGAATGAATTCACTTCTTACAGTTATCTCTAGATCAATTATCAATTTTAAACAATTTAAAAGTAAGTATGTAATTCCTTCCAAATTCTCTGTCGATTACTTTATTAAATCAAAAGTTTGAGCAAATTATAGTAATTAGATTAACCAAAGAAGTTTCTATTAGTTATTATTACTATTTTATTTTTGAGGCTTCTATTCAAATTATATTGTTTCACTTTTAGGTGGATAATGATATTATACTCAATATAACATTTACTAATATGCTTACAAGACTGAAAGTTTGTTTTATCAATCATTGAAATTGTTTTGGTTACGATCAAATATTCTAGAAACATACAAATTGATTTTATGTTAAAGTTTATATTTTTCTACTAAGAATTCAAAATAATTCTTTGAAAAGATAGAAACATCTTAGATGAACATTTTGAAAGATTCAAACCTGAATTAAGTATTAAGATTCTATTTATTAGATAAAATTATTTGAATCTCAAATTTACCTATTCTTAAAATTTAGTTTTATATGTATTTAGATTTTCGGATTTATAAATATTCTTCTTATATATTTTAAAAATACGCCTTTTATTTATTGTGATTTTAAATTGAATTAAAATAATAATTTTTCTTTGGGTGTTGATTTTTGTGTTTGGATTAATATAAGAAAATATGTATTAGAAATTATTGATATATTCTTATCATTGTCTCTCTCAAGATGTTCATAAATATAAGAATTATGTTATGCTTGAACCAATCTAAATTTAATGCTTTAATAACAATTTTCTAAATATCGAATAATCAAGATCTCTATTGTGTTTATATTATAAAAGATCTATCATTTATGATTTCTAGAAATCTTTACCATTTTACATCCAATTAAACTTACAAGAAAGCTTATATACAAAAGGCTTAAAGTCTAAATGCCTTATAAATGCATAAATAATGTAACTCTACTTGGATTCAAGTCAAGTTCTTGAGGGTTAGAGCCTCGGATACTAACTAGTAAACGATAGATCCTATAGTTATACTTTTTACCTATCAGATACTATTTCAATATCACTATGCCCTTGGAAAGGGAAAAAAGCAAATAAAACTTACGTTAATTTATATCTTGTATTTCTCGAAAATTCTTTTAAAAATTTCATTAATTATAAATAAATAACAAATATAAACTAATTTAATTTCGTTTTCAATTTTTAAATAGTATTTTTGTTTAGGTAATTTAATGAGTTGGAAAATTTATCAATTTTTTCATTTTTATAATTAGTATTATTTAAGGGCTGCTATTTTGTGATGAATTTCTTGAACTTAAAAATATTTAAAGCTTTATTACTACTTCTAGAGCAATACTTATATTTATATGAAAAATCTCTAATTTTCATTTTATAAGTGAGGAGGGCTTAATGTTTATTTAAATCCATTTACTGGATCTTCTTATAATAAATATTTTAAGAAACATAATCCATTATTAGAATTTGGGCAATATTTAAAAATGAATTTGATTTAGAAAAATTTTCATATAATTATTAATTAATATAGATTCTTATTAGAATTCCATTTTTATTTATTATTTGACAATTGGTTCTGCTTAAGGTAAAGATTTGTTAATCATTTTTTGCATAATTTTGATTTTCGAACTTAGAATAAACTCAATAATCCTAAATTTTATTTAATTACATTATATTCTGATCTACATCCAAGGAATTGTACTATCTGGAAATTAAATCTAAACTAAAACCTTTTGGTCAGGATAAAAATTCAAATAATTTATTGCCTAAATAACTCAACAATTTTGCTATTTTTCTCGAAATTCATATATTTCTTAATTGTATATGTAGAATTCTTAAAAAGGATATATATTTTATTGGAAATTCTGTGTAAATATTTCTTCAAATGTAAATATTTAGGTTTAAGCGTTTTTTTTAAATTGAGAGCAACATTTTAAAGAACCTTGTCTTTCATCATTTAAAAATAGGAAATAAACTTTAAAGTTTAGGGATTATAAAGATTTCAATATAATCTGTTGTGAGAAGAATTTTGAATCTCATTTTTGAGACATCGTAATTGCTGTATTTTGAATTTATGTGAAATTATTAAGTAGTTTATCTATTGTATTTTAAAATTATTAATAGCAATTCCTCTTTTTTACAAGAATAAAAATTATATAAATATTAGTTATAATGTTTTAGAAGAATAAAAATAATTTCAATTACGTTTTCTCTTAAGTAATTACCCTAATTGTTTTTGTTGAGTGAGACTAAATTTTATTTATAAATCAGTATTTATAAACCTCACGCTATTTTGGGGCTTAGATGTTTTTTAATCCTTTTTTTTAAGTATGCTTTTTGGAGCATTTGTTGAATTATTATATGATAAATTCACATTTTTAGAATCTAAATCAAATTAATAATCAAGAATTTAATTCTTATTAATTAAAAATTTCTCATTTTTTTCTATTGAGTTTAAAGCTATTTCTTAATCTGTATAATTGGTAGTACAGACCATTTAAGAGGTTTTTCTTTATTCTTAAATTTTGTTATTACAAGTTTTAAAGTGAGTTATGAATTTTGTTTTTAGTTCATATTAAGAAGCATAATGAGGACCAAAGTACTCGGAATTAATCTGTTCTGAATAATTTTCAAGCAGATTATCAGTATACTCTAGATAATATTTAACACTCTATCCCATTTTTTATTATAAATTAGATAATTGAAAAAAAACAGAATTTAAGATTTTTCTTTATAATTGTAAAATCAAATACAACATGAAATTTTATTTAATACTTATTCTAAAGGCTTGTAATAGTAATTTTTGCTTGTGCTTTTAAATATATTTTATTAAATAATAAAATAAAATATAAATGTTTGATACTATAAAGATCATGGCTTCTTTTAGACCGTTACCTGAAATGAAATAAATTTGATAATAAAGGTTGAACCACCTCGATATATTCTAGTATGTAAGTAATATAAACTTAATTATTATAAATTATTAACTTTATAATGGTTATCTTTCATGCTCGAATAAATTTCTACAATTTTATAATAAATAATTACCAAACAGAAGAAAACTTATAATTTGGAAATGTCTCATAATTTTATCATCCATGATTTAATTTATTTATTTTTACTATATTGTTTTTCTACTTAAGATCTACAGCTAATGAATATAGTAATATTAATTCAAAGTTTTTAAGTTAAACAGGAAATCACTCTTGATTTATAGAATTGAGTAAGGTGAGTTTAAATGTAATTAAGAATATATCCATAATTTAAAAAAATTAATATTAAATAAACAGGAGAAGGTGAGTAAAGAAAATGAACAGTCCTTAAGCCACAAAATATAAGTAATAAATTAAAAGCCCACTCTCATTTTTATTTTTTCCTTTTCTATTATTGACAGTGTTATAAATAAACTTTGTGCTAGTCTTAACAGTTAAATCTTGAATGAACAATTATAAATAAACTAGAAGACATTAATGCCTTATGCAAGTAAAAAAAAGAAGACAAGAGCAAATAATTTTGTAAATTAGATTGGCTCCACCTTAATTTAAAATAGATAAATTCCAAATAGATATTAAAAAGTATGTTCTTTTTTAAAATAAAAATTTTATGAGCTTTCTATACTTTGATAGCATTTCGAAAAAAAAATGGAAAAGAATTTGAGATAAAATCAAGGTGATAAAATGAAAAAACGAAAAATTCAAAATCAGAGATTTAAAATAGAAAAATTATGAAAAAAACAATTTTATCAACCAAAGTAAGAGTTGAATCATATTGATGGATATTTAATTTATTCTATATAAATTTTATTTTTTTTGATTAATGTTTTTAAAATGATAAATCCCTCAATATAGCTAAGATAGACAAATCAAGAGAATCTAAAATATAAAAAAATTAGTTGGTAGGCATGCAGAAGAACTAGCAAAATAGAATTTAGTATATACATCATGCATCAATTAAGTACTATATACAATATCTTTAATGTTAAACAACAATTAGATAGTTGATATAATTTTGAGGACAGGTTTTGAATCAATCTCTAGATATTTCAGAGGGGAATATTCTTGTTTTCTAATTCATGATTTCATTATATTATCAAATAAAAATAATAAACCATAGTAAATGTAAATTAAGTTCAATAGTTTAAATATTTAATATCAAATTACCTGATTCAAGTAGTTTTTTACATAATAAATATGTTTATAAAATATTAATAGTTTACTATAAATTATTAGATATTATCTTAGTAAATCAAACAATCTTTAAACTGATTTGGATTTATCTGACTCTTTAGATTATGTAAATAGAAAAGATTATGTAAATAGAAATGATTCTGATCAGAAAAGGGAGCTGAATCAAAAAATTAAACTTGTATATTTAGAATTAGAGAATTTATTTCCTAACTACAGTTTCATTATTTAAAGGTCAAAGTGTTTATTTCAGTAAAAATTAAGTGTAAGAAAAATGCTGAAGGAAAATAACACTGGTAGAAGGTAGATTTATTGGAAGTGTAAATATATATATCATATTATAAGGACTTGAATTGATAATCAATTAATGAAAGAACCAGAAAGATTTATCTAAATAGAGATTAATATTATATTTTATTCATATTTATTTAATTTTTATGGAAATTACTTCATGAAGATACTGAATATATCTATCTTGTGGAAAAGCTTATAAGGGAAAAATGCATGGCAATTTATTTGATTGTTAATAGAATGTATAAATTAAAATATAAAATTGGATCTTAAATATTACCTTTGATTATTTTTTTATGAATAATTAAATAATATTGAAAGATAGTATTACAAACTTTTACA